AGACTGGGAAAAAAATTTTGGCCACGACAAATCCAATCAGCGTCTGATCTGTACAGTCTATGTGATACTGCAAAAACCTCAACAAAAAGACAAATAACCCAAATAAAAAATGGGCAAAGGTTATGAACAGGCACTTTGCCAAAGAAGACATTCAGACGGCTAATAGACACCTGAGGAAATGCTCACAATCATTAACAATTAAAGAAATGCAAATCAAAACTACAATGAGATACCGTCTCACCCTAACAAGGCTAGCATTAGTCCAAAAAACACAAATAATAAATGTTGGAGAGGTTGTGGAGAGACTGGAACACTTACACTCTGTTGGTGGGAATGTCAGTAGTACAACCACTTTGGAAATTGATATGACGCTTCATTAAAAACCTAGAAATAGAAGTACCATACCATCCAGCAATTCCACTCCTTGAAATATATCCTAGAGAAATAAGAGCTGTCACGCAAATAGATACATGCACACCTGTGTTCATCGCCGAACTGTTCATAATAGCTAAAAGATGGAAACAACGTAGGTGCCCATCAACAGACGAACGAATAAACACATTATGGTATATTCACACAGTGGAATACTACACAACGATAAAGAACAACGATGAATCTGTGAAGCATCTTATAACATGGAGGAATTTGGAAGGCATAATGCTGAGTGAATTTAGTTAGTAGCAAAAGGACAAATAATTGTATAAGACCACTATTACAAGAACTCAGGAAAAGGTTTAAACACAGAAGAAAACATTCTTTACAAGGGTAGGGAGGAAAGGAGAGGTGTATACACTAGCTAGATAGTAGACAATTATCTTAGGTGAAGGGAAGGATAACACACGCTACAGGGGAAGTCAGCACAACTGGACTAAACCAAAAGCTAAGAAGTTTCCTGAATACAGCCAAACACTTTGAGGGACAGAGTAGCAGGGGTGGGGGTCTGGGGACCATGGTTTCAGGGGATGTCTAGGTCATTGGCATAACAAAGTTTATTAAGAAAATATTCTGCATCCCACTTTGGTGTGTGGCATCTGGGGTCTTAAAAGCTCGTGAGCAGCCATCTAAGATGCATGAATTGGTCCCAACCCACCTGGACTAAAGGAGAATGAAGAACACGAAAGACACAAGGAAAGTATTAGCCCAAGAGACAGAAAGGGTCACATAAACCAAAGACTTCATCAGCCTGAGACCAGAAGAACTAGATGGTGCCCAGCTACTACCAGTGACCACCCTGACAGGGAACACAACAGAGAGTCCCTGGTGTAGCAGGAGAAAGGTGGGGTGGAGAACTCAAATTCTAGTAGAAAGACCAGACTTAATGGTTTGATTGAGACTGGAGGGGCCCTGGAAGACATGTCCCCTGAACTCTCTGTTAGCCTAAAACTAAAACCATTCCGTAGGCCAACTCTTCAGACAAAGATTAGACTGGACTATGGGACCTAAAATGATACTGGTGAAGAGTGTGCTTCTTAGCTGAAGTAGATACATGACACGAAATGGCAGCTCATGTCCAGAGGGAAGATGAGAAGGCAGAGAGAGTCAGGAGCTGGTTGAATGGAGAAGGGAAATCCGGAGTGGAAAGGAGTTTGCTGTCACAGGATAGGGAGAGCAACTAGGGCCACATAACAATGAATGTATAAATTTTTGTATGAGACACCAACTTGATTTGTAAACCTAAAGCACAACAATAAAAGATAAAATAAGTCTTTTGCAGCAGATTTGCCCAGTGTAATACATCATTTGATTTCTTGACTGCTACTTTCCTGGATGTTGATTGTAGATCCAAGTAGAATGAAATCCTTGACAACGTGTCAATATTTTCTTCGTTTACCTTGATGTTGCTTATTGTCTAGTTGTGAGAGTTTTTATTTTCTTTATGTTGAGGTGCAATCCATACTGAAAGCTGTAGTTTTTTATCTTAAACAGTAAGTGCTTCAAGTCCTCTTTGCTTTCAGAAAGCAAGGTTGTGTCCTCTGCATATCACAGGTTGTTAATGAGTCTTCCTCCAATCGTATAGTCTGGCTTTTTGGATTATTTTCTCGGCGTATGGATTGAATAAGTAGGAAGAAAGAATACAACCCTGATGCACACCTTTCCTGACTTTAAACCACACAGTAGCCCCCTGTTCTGTTCGAATGACTGCCTTTTGGTCTATGTACAGGTTCCACATGAGCACAATTAAATGTTCTGGAATTCCTTTTCTTTGCAGTGTTATCCATAATTTGTTATGATCCACACAGTCGAATGCTTTTGCATAGTCACTAAAACACAGGTAAACATCTTCTGGTATTCTTTGCTTTCAGCCAAGATCCATCTGACATGAGCAGTGATATTCCTCGTTCTACATCTTCTTCTGAATCTGGCTTGAATTTCTAGCAGTTCCCTGTCAGTGTACTGCTGCAACTGTTTTTGAATTATCTTCCGGAAAATTTTCTTGTGTGTGATATTTATGATATTGTTTGATAATTTCCATATTCTTGGGTTACCTTTCTTTGGAATGGGCACAAATATGGATCTCTTCCAGTCGGTTGGCCAGGTAGCTATCTTCCAAATTTCTTGGCATAGATCAGTGAGCATTTCCAGCGTTGCATTGATTTGTTGAAACATCTCAATTGGTATTCCATCAGTTCCTGCAGCTGTGTTTTTCTGCAGTGCCTTCAGTGCAGCTTGAACTTCTTCCTTCAGTACCATTGGTTCTTGACCATCTCCTACCTCCTAAATGGTTGAACGTTGACCAGTTCTTTTTGGTACAGTGACTGTATTCCTTCCATCTTCTTTTGATGCTTCCCGTGTTGTTCAATATTTTACCCATAACCTGAAACCCAATGCTGTCGAGATGATTTCCAACTCATAGCAACCCTATAGGACAGAATGTAACTGCCCCATAGGGTTTCCAAGGAGCAGCCGGTCAATTTGAACTGCCGCACTTTTGGTTAGTAGCCAGGCTCTTAACCACTGTACTGCCAGGGCTCCATTTTGCCCATAGAGTCCTTCAGTATTACAACTTGAAGCTTGAGTTTTTTCTTCAGTTCTTTCAGCTTGAGAAATGCTGAGTGTGTTTTTCCCTTTTGGTTTTCTATCTCCAGATCTTGTTCACATTTCATTATAATACTTTGTCTTCTCGAGCTGCCCTTTGAAATCTCTTTAGCTCTTTAATGTGACCATTTTTTCCTTTCTCTTTAGCTATTCTACATTCAAGAGCAAGTTTCAGAGTCTCTTCTGGCATCTGTTTTGGTCTTTTCTTTCTGTTCTGGCCTTTTTTTCCTCCCCAGATGGTATCACTGGAGAATCTGCCAAAAGTTTAAAGAAGAATTAACACCAATTCTACACAATCTCTTCCAGAAGAGGAGGGAACATTCCCCAGTTTATTTCCTGACACTAATATTACCCTGATACTAAAACCAGACAAAGACAGTATGAAAAAATAAAGCTACAGACTAATATCTCTCATGAACATAGTTGGAAAAATCCTTAACAAAGTGTTAGCATATAGAATTCAGCAATAAATAAGAGTTATACACCATGACTGATTGGGATTTATTCCAGGGATGTAAGACTGGTTCAGTATTTGAAAATCAGTCAATATAACCCACCATATTAACAGACTAAAGAAGAAAAGTTATATGATCATATAAATTAATGAATTAAAAACATTTGACAAAATTCACCCAGTCTTGAGGCAGTCTCGCAAAACTAATAGAAGGGAACTTCCTCAACTTATTAAAGAATATCTACAAAAAATCTACAGGTAGTGTCATACTTTTTGGTGAAATGCTTGCCAAACACTTTTTCCCTAAAATCAGGAACAAGGCAAGGATGCCCACTCTCACCACTTCTATTCCTCATAGTACTGGAAGTTCTAACCATCAGAATAAGACAAGAAAAGGAAATAAGTGACGTTCAGATCACAAAGGAAGAAATAAACATGTCGTGTGACATATTTGCAGATGTCATGATTGTCTGTGTAAGAAAATCCCAAGAAATCTACCAGAACAACCTTCCTAGAACTATTGAGTTCAGCAAGATTGGTAAGATGCAAAATAAATATACAAAAATCAGTTTCTATATACTAGCAATAAAAATGTGGAAACCAAAATTAAAAATAGATACTACTTACAATCACTCAAAAAATGAAGTGCTTAATTATAAATCTAATAAAACATGGTCAGATATATATGCATGATCTAAATAAACGGAAAACTCACCATGTTCATGGACTGGAATACTCAACGTAGTAAGGATATCAGTCCTCTCCCAATTGATACCCAGATTCAGTGTAATTCCATCAAAATCCTAGCAAGATTTTTTTATATAGATTATTCTAAAATTATATGGAAAAGCAAAGGAACTAAAACAGTTTTGAAAAAGAAGAATAAAATGGAAGAAATTAGTCCTCCAAAATTCTGTATGTGTATGCACACACACGAGCACTTACTGTATATAGCAACGTTTTCAGGATTCTGTGATTTGGTGGAAGGACAGATGTATAGATTAATGGAACAGAATAGAGACCACAGAAATAGCCCTATGTAAGTATGGCCAGCTGATTTTTGTTTGTTTAGGGTTTGTTTTGTTTTGTTTTGAGTGTACAATTCAAGATTTTTAATAGTGACGGAAGAGATTGGTGGTTGCCTAGGGCCGGGAAGGGAGTGGTGGTAGGAAATGGGGAGTGTTGCTATGAATTGTTACTATTAATAATAGTGTGAACATTGATTTGCAAGTTTTTGTGTGAACATATGTTTACTGGTGAGTTGAGCATGTGCTGTTGTAAAACATTAGATCTTACAAGTCATGATTTTACTTTCAAATATCACTTTATTACTCAAGGATATCCTGGTGTTTATCATTGTCTAGAATACTAAACATTTCTGATAACTTCTTTCAGTTATAAGGAATAGATTGATGGTGGCTAAATAGATACTTGATCGCTACTTGGCTGACTTTTCAATAAAAAGTGAACTATTAAATGTATTACATTGGTATTATTTTTTGTATATTAGATATTTGGTGCTTGAAAAACTGAAGAAAGAAGAAGCCGACCGAATTCATATATTCAGTTCTTTTTTCTATAAACGCCTTAACCAGAGAGAGGGGAGAAATCTTCATGAAACAACCAATCTGTCGTAAGTCAGGCTTTTTAAAGATATTTAACAAGTGTAATAAGTAACTTGAGCTTAACTTAATAAAAATTACTTATTTATATTGAGGTACCGTTATTTAGTTCTGTTGTTAGTTTGCAAAATGATTATAATTCATAATATTCTAAAGCCTTAAGAACACCTAGAATTCATAAAGGTCTAGGTGTGAGATCTAGAACAGCGCTTCCCAAATATGCCTGATGATTAAAAAAAAAAATTATTTGGGTATTTATTAAATACAGATAGCTCTGTTTTGCCCTAGGTGTTCTTGTACCCTAAAGGATCTTGTGATTCTGTAATAAGCTCTTTGAATAATTATTTTCAGACATGTTAAGGAAGTACTATTCTAGTTACTCGGTCCAAGTTATTTTCTTTATAATTCTTTTTCCTGTGTTTTGAGTATCCAGCTGTAACACTTGCTGGTAACTGTTCAGAAGAAATATACAACATTGGCACATTTTTGTCATAACTACTGTTAAATGTGTTGAATCGATGGCTGCTTGTACATAATATAAGTAATATTTTCTACTATTTCGACAATTGCCGATTTTGTGTCTTAGAGTTGATGATATTCATTCTTCACTGCTCCTCTGTGCTCATAGTCTTTCTTGCTTCATCTACCCTCAGATATTTCTCACTCTTCCTGCCCTGTTTTTCTCCCAAGATTTTGTAGGCAGTGTTCTGGTATGCCTTTCAGCAGTTGCTGCTACCAATTCTAAACTAATACAAATGGTGGAGATCTAAGTCTATTCAAGACAAGTGTTGGAACCTCTAGGATGTAGTAGCAGGAATTAAATATCTCTTTCTTCCATAGACAGTTTCATGCCTTCCTAGCTCCATCTCTGATGCTGTATTTTCTTTCCTCAACGGGTTAAACCATCTTATATAAGTGTTCTTGCTGTTGAATCTTCATAATTTATAAATTGCTGCTTATAAGTTGAAGCACTAGAGACTTTTCAGAAGCTTGATAGTTTATCTCTTGTCTCACAGAATACAGCAAAAGCGACATGGGAGAGTAAAAACCTGGACCCGGCATGTAGATATTTTTGAGAAGGATTTTATTTTTGTACCCCTTAATGAAGCGTAAGTAAGAATTTCCTTTATGTAAATACGATGGCAGTTTTTAGAAAATGTGTTTCTGAGATGAAGATATCCATTTTAAAACTTCTTCCTGAGAAATAGTGTATATATTTATACTTTTACCACCTTATTTTATGAAAATTAATATAGATTTCCAGTGAATCATGTATGATATTGAACTTCGCAATCACTAGACCAGATAGCTTTTTAAATTTAATTTTAATGGTCAACATGGAATAATGTCATTAAAAAATAAACAGCAATGCTAATGGTCTAGCAAATATTGTGTAAAAAGGCTATTTTATACAAAAAGATGATTACTTCATTTAGAAGAATTTGAATCTTTGGTTTACAGAAAACTTTGTTTCTTAACCAAAAAGCAGAGATGGGTGGAATTATGAAATTTGCTCAGATTGAAAACCAGCTTCCATATTATGCTAGTCTGACTACTTGAAGCAATTTTGTAAATAAATGAAGGTGCTTAAACACGGTGTTATTTCCCCTCAGTGATTAGACAGATGTTGATGTGTTTGCATAGTATTATTACGTCATTAAGACCTGAGAATTTTTTTATTTCTTTTTTTTTGTGGGGGCAGGGTTTGGATTTCTATGTCCTCCAGCCAAAGCCCACAAGGAACATACCTGTAGTTGAACAACTTAAGTTTATTACTTGTTGCAGTGAGGGAGAATACACACCATGTGTAACTGTGAGGTGTCTGAGTAAGAGGGTGCTGGAAAGAATCCGTTATAGGATTTGGGTTTTGGTTAGGGGACTTGGGGGAGGGTCTTAGGAAGTGATGGTTTGCCCTAGATTGGTTGCAGAGATTCTGTTGTTGAGTAAAGAAGTAGCATTTGCTCATTTAGCAGGAGAGAGGGGTGTTTGGTATTTTGTGAATTGCAGTGTGACCTTTGTGTTTGTCTCTGCTTAGACAAATTATGAAATGGCCTTGCTTTGTCTCATTTTATCATGGTCTCAGAGTAACCTTGTCTGAGGTTGGTTTTCTGTGAAATTGTTTATGTCTAAAAGGCCTAGTGTGAGTGACAGGCTATCTTCTGAATGTGCCTTTTTTTTCTCGTTTAACACTATAAAAAAAAAATTCAGCTATAGTATAGTCAATTCCAAATTTTGTTCATTTAAAACTATGCTTTAATCATGAGACGTGTGTTCCATTACTAGCCCAGTCAGAAGTGGGTAGGCTAGGTCAAAATGTTCGTTTTGACTGTATAGCACAACCTCTTCAAAGCTATGTATTTCTTTAAATCAAACGTAGTATCCTAATACAATTTAAAACTAACTCTTCTCTTCATTCTCCCCAAATTAAGTTTCTTGACACTAATATGTGATACAGAGTAACATTTGAGATAGAGGTGTCTACTTGGGGTGAAAGGGAGGATATACATAGAAAAAGCCATTATCAGAAATTAAGTATAAAAATTTTAAATAGAAATATAATTTGGTTGCACACACTTTAAGGATGGAAGTATATTCCCCTTAGTTACTGTATCTGATGTGGATGGAAGCTACTATTAATGTTTCCAGTTATCTTGGTAAGGGGGAGTGGGCAAATATGTAGGGCTACTAAAGGATTTTGCAAAAGAGCTTTGCCATTAATAGATGGAAGAATAGCCTCCAAATCAAGTGGACTCTTTTTTTTTTAAGAGGTAGAACCACAAATGTTTATATTCCGTATTTATGTTAGGTTGTTGTTAGCTGCAGTCTGGTCCCCAGCTCATGGCAACTCTGTAGGAACAAAGCGGTAGACTCCCATATATTTGTCATCTATTTTATTTTTAATTTTCTTGGTGGTACTAATTATCTTTAAACTTAAAAGTTTATAAGATATTTGTTAAAAATTGTCACGGTAATTGACAAGCAGCAGAAATTTGATACTTGGATCAAATCCATCTTGAGATAGATGGAATTGCCTGTTTTAGCCTCTTCTTCCATTGGATATTTAAGGTCAGTGTAGCTGCTATTAAAAGGCGTTGGAAGTGACCTCAAGGTTATCTGATTCAGCTTTCTCCTTTCAGCCAAAGAAAGGATTTTTCCTAGTTTATAGGGGAGACAATAGAAATTTTGTGGTTTATCCATATTGACACAGCTAAAAAATGTTAACAACTGATAGACCTAGGCTATAGCTAGAGGTTGAGTCACTGGATTATACCACATTTCATCAGTTTTTAAAACATTTTTTTCACATTTTAACATTTCTGAAATTTAGATATGACAAAATACAACTGTGTCTTAGAGTTGATGAAATGAGGAAGTTAGTGTGTTGACCTTTCTACTACTATAGCCTGACCTAAGTCCATAAGGATACTGAGGATTAATAATTTAGAACAGGAGGAAAGCATTAATCCATCTGGTCTTTACATACTGAGGATGAAAGCAGCCCCAGTGAGCTTTCTACTAGATGCTGTCCAAAGAAAGGGTAGTGTTGTTTCTCGATATTACCTTGGGTTAATTCAGCATTTTGCAGAACTCAGAAATGTGGAATAAATTTTATCCTCCTCACAGTATTCATTTTTGATTCAACAAATATTAACACCTACTACGTGACAAATATTCTGCTAGGCCTTGGGAATTATGCTAGCGGTAAGCTCTCTGACCATCTATAACCTGTTTATTGTATCTACAGCACATAACACTGTGCCTAGCAAATCACAGGCTTTTAATAAAATTATTGGCTAGATTATTATCGGTTATAAACCCAGACTGTACAGTTTTCTTGTGGACTGCCCCCTACTGTTGGGAACTGTGATACCTAGATTCACCTATATCATGAATAGTCACTTGATAGCTGTAACTCTTTAGTAATTAAAGCTTTCTAATAATGATTAGGTATGTTATTTTCTTTCAGTATATTTACATTTTAGTATAGCATGAGACAAAGCTTTACTTACATAAATATTTTCAGTAGTAAGCTCTTTCTGTCTTACTAATGGAATCCCTGGGTGGTGTGTACGGTTCACACACTAGGCCCACCCAAGGTGCCTTGGAAGAAAGGCCTAGAGATCTACTTCTGAAAAATTAACTGTTGAAAACCCTATGGAACACAGTTCTACCCTGACACACATGAGGTTGCCATGAGTCGAAATTGACACCGTGGCAGCTGGTACCTTATTAACAAGAAAAACACACACTAGAAGTTAAAAAAAAAAAAAAAAAGATACATAATACTTAGAAGATGTTGAAAACTATACAGTCTACGTATATATAGATTTCTAAAGACATTTTAATATTGAGGCTAGATAGTTTTCTATCACTTTGATAGAAGACAAAAAGAGGGTGAATGATGAATTGTAAAGTAAGGTATATTACATTAAATTGCCTGGAAAAGCAATGCATGTCTTATACCAAAAGCAAGAAAATGTTCAATGGATTGCTTATAAAAGTAAATTCAAGCTACATAATTCTAGCAAAAATTCTGACAATAAAAGAATGTTTTTAAATAGACATTATATTCTGTTAATGAATCAGTGGTCATATAAACAGTGGATTATTTTGAGAATTGAAAATATTGGGCATTCTTAGTAAATTTATTTACAAAAGCTTTAGAAGAAACATTTCAATTGATATTTATTGCCAAATATAGTAAACTTTCATAATAATATATTCAGTAGTTTCATTTGTTTTTTACAGTGCCCACTGGTTTTTGGCTGTTGTTTGTTTCCCTGGTTTGGAAAAACCAAAATATGAACCCAATCCTCAGTATCATGAAAATACAGTCATACAAAAGTGTTCAACTTTAGAGGACAGTTGTATTTCTTCTCCTTCAGCCAATGAAATGGACAGTTGTTCACAAAACTCTTCCGCCAAGCCTGTAATTAAGAAGATTATAAACAGAAAACATTGCATAGCTGTAATTGATTCAAATGCTATACAGGAAGAAAGTGACCCTCGTTATCGGAGAAACATATGCAGTGTGAAATGTAGTCTGAAAAAAATAAATCATACTGCAAGTGAAAATGAAGAATCAAATAAAGGAGAATCTGCTTGCCAGAAAGTTGTTGATAGGACTAAAAGTGAGAATGGCCTACAGAATGAATATTTAAGTTCTATACACCATACAGGTATGTATCCAAATGTTTTGAAAGAATGAAGGAATTCAGAATAAATGGAATTTTTTAATAAACAGCATTAGAATTTCAGGGTACACTTTTTTTAAAGTCAGATTTATTAAGGTGTAGGAGCCCTGGTGGCACAGTGATTAAGAGCTCAGCTGCTAACCAAAAGATTGGCAACTTGAATCCACCAGCCGCTCCTTGTAAACCCTATAGGGCAGTTCTCTTCTGTCCTATAGGGCCAGTGTTAGTCAGAATCAACTCGACAGCAACGGGTTTACTTTTTGGTTTTTTATTGAGGTATAATTTACATACAATAAAATTTACTCGTTTTATAAGTATAGCTCAGTGAGCTTTGATAAATACATATATCATCATATAGTCACAGCCATAATCAAGATTTAGAACCTTTCCATCATTCCAGAAATATTCCTTATTATCTTTTTGCAGTCAGTCCCCTCCCCTTACCCCAACAGAGTTCAGTTTTTATTCATGTTTACATTTTCTAGTGTTGGGACTTAGATTTATTTTTATTTCATAGGAAATTTACTGTATTCAGCATAAATAGTAGTTGGACAGTTTTAGACCTGTAAGGGAAATGAATTCAGTCTTCTCAATTTACAGCTGGTTAACGTGAGATCCATTGCATGATTAGGTCCGATTTACGTACTGAGGGATGGAGTTTAATTTTAGGAAATACTGGATAGTTAAAACCTTAACTAATGAGAATGCTTATAGTTTCTTGTTGTTTCTTTTTTTCTAACCTTTCTTGGCTAAAGAAAATTTCCAGTTTTATTCATTGGCTCTTACATCAGTATATCATGTATGTAGAAAGTTTGGCAAATTGACTGACAGCTGAAGTGTATTCTTTGAACTGATGGAAGTTTAATTGCTGTTGTTGTTATATTGATTTATTTTGTTTGTTTTAATGCTTTTAGATGAATCCTAACCATTGCTTATCATATTCTCTCACACTCACCTAATTATGATACTTGCTTCCCATGTGTATGAGATTTGGTTAAGTTCTTACGGCCGCCTTGAATGTAGCTTTTGAAAAAAGTAGATCATTGATAACAATATGCTTTACCAGTTTCTGTTTAAAAAACAAGTCCTGGGATAGTTCTGATTAATGAAGATTAATGTAGTTTGTAATCAATTTTGGCTTTTCCAAATTGACATTTTAAGCATTGTTGTTTTTTTAGTTATGACATTCAATAAAATTTACAAGATGGTTCCAATTAAAATTTGAAATATTACAAATAAGCTATAGATTATTTTTCCAAAGAACAGGCATATTTAAAAAATAATTTCAATATTTACTAATCTGTAAATATTTCTAAATTGTAAAACTGGATACCAAAGAAATGGAAATTTATTTTACAAAAAGTATGCTTTAAGACACCAAGTATGTTGAGATTAGAGGAAGTGGGATCAAGATGGCGGAGTAGTCAGATGGTTCTGGTGGACCCTCTTACAACAAAGACTCAGAAAAACAAGTGATTCGATTATATATGGCAATCTGGGCGCCCTGAACATCAAAGGCAGAGTTGAGGAACTGGACTGAGTGACAGGGGGAGGGAGAGATGGTTCGGAAGCAGCAAGGAGTTGCCAGACCTGACCTGGCGAGAGCCTGAGCCCTTAAGGCCTGAGCAGCTCGAGGGTGAGCAGTGAGGCAGGCAAGTGGCAGTGCTCGGGAGGCGTGTTTTCTGCACCAGGAGACACCCAGCCACAGAGAGTATACACGGCCACCCAGAACTAGTGAGAGTCAGCCCTGTATCTGCGAAAGATAAGTACTTGCGTATGACTTACTGCACGGATCAAAAACACCCCACTTAGGGAAAAACATCTCTCCCATTTACCTCCCTGCTCCCTGCTTTGCACTGGGTCCCCGACCGGCCCTGGGCCGGAAGTAGGATCCATCACACGCCCAGACCCAATCTCCCCACCTTGGAGAGTAAACAAATTAACAAACACGGGAAAGAAATAAACTGCTGGCTCCCCTAAGACAGGAACCCAGGGTAGGCACAGCTCCTTGCTTAGGCACAGGCGTAAGGGATCCACAGACTTTGAATGCCTTTCCCCCTGCATAGACTTGTGAGGGACCATCTCAACAGCATAGGCCCTCATTACCACAGTACAACAGGGTGTATACCGGAACTCTAACTTCAACTGTTTCAGCTGTGAAGTGGTAGGTTCTTGACATTTGACACTCCTCTGCCCATTAAGCAGGGCCTTCACCTACCCACATCAGGGGCCTGAGGACTGGTGGCTCCACCCACGCCACCTAGCCACCTGCGAGAGGGGCCCATGAATAAGAGGTGTCCCCCAGTCATTACAGCCAACAGCATTAGGTCCTCATAATCCGGCTGCAAAGCCCACCCACTTAGCCTTCCTCCTGGACACTCGGGGGTAGGCGTCAGCCTACAGCCTTGCTCAGAGTGTGCCCCCCTGCTGCAGCCAGATACCTGTGCCTACACCAATCACCCATGCCTGTCTAGGACTGTAAGTGAGAGCTTACACCACACACTTGGTGGCTCTCTAGCTGGGCACCTGAGCTGAATCCATACAGGTGGAGTGGGCAGACACCTGAGCTCACATACCTAGTAACAGATCTAACCACCTGGTGACAGGACATTAGAGCTTCAGAGGTGCCAATAATCAAACTAGCTCATACGAGCAACCTATTTGGGCATATCAAAACAAAACAAGAAGCTAGGACACAGTAAGCAAACATAAAATAAATACAATAACTTATTGATGGCTCAGAGACGACAGTCAATATAAATCACATAAAGAGGCAGTCTTTGATGGCTTCAGCAAGCTCTCAAAATAAAGAATCTAGAAATTTTCCAGACGAGGAAAATTCCTTGGAATTACCGGAGGCAGAATACAAAAAATTAATTTACAGAACTCTTTAAGAGATTAGGAAGGGAATTAAGCAAAACACAGAACGCACAACAGAAGAATTTAAAAGATTAGAGGAGAGCATAATGACAGATGTAACAGGCTGCAAGAATCCATAGAGAGAGAGCAATCAGAAATCCAGAAGATTAACAACAAAATTTCAGAATTAGACAACTCAATAGAAAGTCGTAGGAGCAGAATTGAGGCAATGGAAGTCAGAATTGGTAAGATTGAAGATAAAACACTTGACAGCAACTTATTTGAGGAAAAATCAGATAAAAGCATTTAAAAAGATGAAGAAACCCTAAGAATTATGTGGGACGCTATCAAGAGGAATACCCTTCGTGTGATTGGAGTACCAGAACAGAGGGGGACAACAGAAAATACAGAGAGAATTGTTGAAGATTTGTTGGCAGAAAACTTCCCTGATACCGTGAAAGTTGACAAGATATCTATCCATGATGCTCATCAAACCCCACATAAGGTAGATCCCAAAAGAAGGGCACCAAGACATATATTATAATCAAACTTGCCAAAACCAAAGATAAAATTTTAAGAGCGGCTAGGGATAAACGAAAAGTCGTCTACAAAGGAGAGTCAATAAGGATAAGCTTGGACTACTCAGCAGAAACCATGCAGGCAAGAAGGCAATGGGATGACATATACAAAGCCTTGAAGGAAAAAAACTGCCAGCCAAGAATTATATATCCAGCAAAACTGTCTCTCAAATATGATGGCGAAATTAGGGCATTTCCAGATAAACAGAAGTTTTGGGATTTGTAAAAACCGATCCAAAATTACAAGAAATACCAAAGGGAGTCCTCTGGTTAGAAAATCAGTAAGATCAGATAACAGCGCAAGAGTAGAACACAGGACAGAGCAACCAGGTATCAAACCAGATAGGGACGTCACAAAAGGAAATCAAAGCTAAAACACTGAAAATAGCAAAACAGATGTCAGTATGTAAAAGATGACAACATTAAAACAAAAAAGAGGGACTTAGAAAATGTAGACGTAGATTTTTCATACGTAGAGGAAGTCAAGGCGATATGAAGAAATAAAAGACTAGTATAAACTTAGAAAAATAGGCATAAATGCTAAGGTAACCACAAAGGAAACTAACAATTCTATAAGTCAAAATAAAAAACTAGAAAAATATAAAGACTCAGCAAACACAAAATCAACAACAATGTAAAAGATGAAAATACATAAAAATGACTCAGCACAGAAAGTTAAGTGGAACAAAGAACCTGAACAACACACAAAAAACGACATCAAAATGACAGCACTAAACTCATACCTATCAATAATTACACTGAATGTAAATGGACTAAATGCACCAATATATAGACAGAGTGGCAGGTTGGATAAAAAAAAAAACACAATCCATCTATATGTTGCCTACAAGAGACATACCTTAGACTTAAAGACACAAACAAACTAAAACTCAAAGGATAGAAAAATATATATCAAGAAAGCAACACTCAGAAAAGAGCAGGAGTGGCAATATTAATCTCTGACAAAATAGACTTTAAAGTAAAATCTGCCACAAAGGGTAAGTAAGGACTCTATATAATGGTTAAAGGGTGAGTACACCAAGAGGACATAACTATAATAAATAAATACGCGCCCAACACAGGGCTCCGAAATACATAAAACAAACTCTAACAGGACTGAAAAGAGACATAGCTCCACAGCAGTAGTAGGAGACCAACACACCACTTCCAGTGAAGGACAGAACATCCAGAAAGAAGATCAACAAAGACAAAGAAGAGCTAAATGCTACAGTCAGCCAACTTGATTTCATAGACGTATACCGAACACTGCACCCTACGGCAGCCAAGTATACTTTCTTTTCCAACGCACATGGAACATTCTCCAGAATAGACCACATATTAGGCCATAAAGCAAGCCTTAACAAAATTCAAAGCATCGAAATATTACAAAACATAAAAGTAGAAATCAACAATAGAAAAAGCAAGGAAAAATAATCAAACACATGGAAACCGAACAACACCTTGCTCAAAAACTACTGGGTTATAGAAGAAATTAAGGATGGAGTAAAGAAATTCATAGAATCAGACGAGAATGAAAACAGCATCCTA